CTACTGAAAAAATTTCGGATTTTGCAGTAGCTATACAGGTCGCAATTATAGACCAATAGACGCGGAATTTCGCATGTAGCTAGAGTTTAGGGCGGGGAAGAAGCCTACCAATTTGGGTGGTCATCGGATAATATTTAGCGGGTAAAATAGACCATAAATTTTGCGTTGAAAATTTTCAAAAATTTTCATTAAACCGCGAATATTTTAAATCCTGGCGAAATCACAAAGCCATGACAAGGTTACTTCTGATCTTTACATTGATGTTAAGATCCAACAAATCGGATATATAGCAAAATATGTGCGATATATATGTCTATCAAAGAGGATATGCTTGAAAGATCTCTTATATGTCGAGAACGGCTGAACTGATTTCTACAGTTTTCATTAATTCAGAATGGCCTCTTGGCAGGAAAGAAAAGACGTCTAAAAAAATCGCATAAAAATATCTCTCTAAAGATGAAAATATTGATTTTGTAAAATTTTCTCATATTTTTTCAATTTTGTCATATTTTTGGCATATTTTCATTTTGAATTAAACATTTGGTAATATTTCTACAGCTAACAAAACTAAGTAGTTAGGATTTCAGGATATCATATACAGATCGCATTTATGGTCCGATCCTTACGAAATTTCGCATGGGGATAAGATGAGGGTCAGAATTGTAGCCTACCCTATTTGGAGATGATCGGGGTTGAAATGGACCAAAAAACTGCAAAATTGTCAGCAGGTCGTAATTATCGCACGATCCTCACGCACATTTGAATGGGGGTTACCGGACATTACAAAAGCCAAGCAGTTTTGGATGGCCATCCAAAAATATTCAATGTGGGAAATAGTTTGCCAACTTTTGTAGACAAAATACGAAAATGTCCATTCCAGTGACTTTTTGGAGAATTCACAAAAACAGGAAAGACGCACCTCTGACTATTTCGTTAACACTGATTTCGCTGAAGAATATAGTCAAATGTCTCTATCTCATATAGATGCGTTTCAGTCAAAAACCAATAATAAATGTTAATCTTTTGCCACTTCTGAGAGATTATGGGTCTTTGGGAAATATTGGTTCCAGATCTAGGAAGACCATTTAAGTGCAACATCTACCAATAAATTGGAAATGAGCAAATTAGTTTAAGTTGCTATTATTCGAAAATTAGAGAACGAAACCTGATGGTTTTCTTTTATTATTTGTCACAATATCTTGTGGAATTCTTTCGAGTATCTCGCCTATATAAACTGTATCGTTTATTATGGTGTTGTAGGGTATTCAACGGTCGGCCCCGCTCGACTGTAGCCTTTGCTTACTTGTTGTATCTGTCGCAGTTGAATTTCGTTTGATTTTATTGCGGGTAACATTAAATAAACATCGGAAAACATGAAATTTACAAGACATTCTTTACTGAAAACTGAAAGGGTGAATGTAACAATTGAACTGCATTTTGAAGAAATGATTTAGACGTTATTTTTGGCAAAGAATCCAATCCAATATTGATGTGTTTACATACAAATATTTATGCATGCTAATTCTGGTAATTGGCCAGATATTTCCGGCAGGAATTGTCCAGCCATAGTAACGTACACTTGCATCGTATTATGAAGACAATGAAGACAAGATAGGTTAAATGGCAATGAAGACAAGGTAGGTTAACATTGAAAAAATTGTAAGTAAAGAGGTCTACCTGTTTGGCTATCTCTAAAGGTTTATTTCGCAAAAAAAAACTGTAGATTCTGTCGATGCGTACGATGCAATAAGCATTTGGAAAACATCCCAAGTCTTTTATTATTGAAAAGGATTCATACGCATAAACTAATAAAGTGGACATATTGACCCCATAAAAAAATAAAATCATATGGTTTCATAGCCCTACCTTGATTTAATTCCACCATGAACCTTATTATGGAATAGTTTTCAACTGGCAAATATCGAATATTTTTAATATTTCACATGCCCCTAAAACGACATATGCAATTCGATCGATTTTTTATCACCATGGGTCTATATTGTCGAGGACATAATACCTCATACAAACACAGTGTGGTGGACCAATGGAGAAATCTTAAGCAAAAGAAAACATTTGAAATTAAATAACACCCATTATTGCGAACATATCAAATGCATGCTCAAGGCGGATACGACTATATAATAACCAATGACAGTATTAGTGTTGTTGTTGTTCTCTTACTTGTTGTTCCTTGCTCTTGTTTTTATAGCCTACACCACATGGTGGTAAGGGTATTATGTTTTTGTGCATTTGTTTATAACATGGAGAAGAAAGCGAGGTAGACTCGTAGTTACTTTTGAGGATCTTCATAGAATCGCTTTATGAGTCCATTTATGCATGTCAGTCCGTCTGTCCATGTGTTTTTGTGAAAAAATCATGTCACATTTATTTTCCCTTTGAGATGAAATTTTCCAAACAATTTTTGTTTGGCCCAAGAACGAACCCTTTACGAATTGGTGAGAATCTGTTCAAATGTAGATATAGGTCCCATATCTACCTTCAACCGATTTCGTGTTAATTGTTCACCAAATGACCAATATCTGGCCAAATGACATGAATTTTGGCATGTCTAGAAGTATATCAAATTTGGGAGCTATAGCTATATCTGAAAATCGGTTCAGATATAGCTTTAGCTCCCATATATATGTTTCATCCGATTTGGTGCAAAAGTCCCTCACATATTATGCATGTGAGAGACTTTTGCACACTTCACAACAATGACATTTGATACTGGGCATCGGATACTTGTTCAGATTTTGATATAGCTTCGATATACATCTTCATCCGATTTTACGGCTATTGCTCACCATATATGTAATATCAGCCCAAATTTAATAGATTTTTTCATATTCAACCGAATTTTACCATTTGGTGAAACTCGGTCCGGTATATCTACTGCTACAATAAATATTTTTTAACATAATCCTTATGGAAGTCATATCATGCACCATACAGCAATGTTATTGGATTCATATAGTCGGCCCCTCCCGATTTTGACTCTGTCTCAATTGGATAAAAAATACGACCTGGCTGACATGCATAAATCGACTCAGAAAGTGATTCTATGAAGATCCTCAAAAGTAACTACGGGTCTATCTGGCTTCTTTCCATGTTACAAACAAATGCACAAAGACATAATACCCTTACCAGTAGTTGGTAAAGGGTATAAAAAAAGATTAAGTTTGGTCAGGCCGATCTTTTAATAACCTCCACCATTGTGTAAAGAAAACATTTTTACATAAAAGTATCTGAATTCAAACTTGTTCCACTTTAAACTACAAATAACAGTAAGACCGTTTGGATAATGCAGTTAAACATTTGAAAATATCATTAAGTGTTAAAGGTAAAGCCATTATTTGGGGGTCATATCGAAACGGGAACCTATATAGACAATTTTATACTACAAGGATTGTTGTCTATTGCGAGTCTTAAATACCAACTTTGAAATAATTTAAAAGGGGTAAATGTGACTAGGATTATCAAAATACGGAATAGGGAGTGTTATATGGTGGCTATACGAAAACGTGGACCTATATGTATGTTCCGCTACCGGAGCTAGAACCCTTACGAACAAAATATATCATTTTTTATACAAAATCGTGGAAAAATGCGGAGAAAATCATCAAAATTTTGAATATCGGGTGGTATCGTTGTATGGCGGCTATACCAAAACGTTGACCAAAATATTTCATTTTCAATACCAACCATCGTAGATACAATACCAATTGTAGTGCCAAATTTTGAAGATCAACGTCAATGTGGTCTGTATCGCGATTTCAACAGACAGACATCGTTAAATAAACTTAGAAATTTATGCTGATCATGAAAATATACACTTTATGGGGTCTTCGACGAATATTGAAGGATATTACAAACAAAATGGCAAAGTTAATATACCCTACTTTTCAAGATGGAGGGTGTAAAAAGGTGAAATGAAATAACCGCTGGTCTGCGTTTTTGGAAATTTGTACTATATGTGTACAAAAAGTACTAAAAAGCACATTATTTGGTAACAGTTTGTTGAAGAAGTAGGGTTGTATAAGAAGATGGTTTTGGAGATGTGCATTAAATGTAAGAACAGTACTAAATTTTGTACACTTCGGGTTTGGGTGAATGAATGAAGCTAGAATTTTTGAATGTTGATATCGGGGAGACTGTGAGTGAGTTCGGTTGAGATTTGAATGTGGTCTTGGAAGTATGTTACACAAAAAGTACGAAAAGAACTAAATCTCTTATATGAGAATGGTATATGGTTGGAAATCTAAAATTTATTATTACGGTGGTTTTGGAAATTTGCTCTAAAAAAGTACTAAATGGTACAAAATTTGGAATTGGGGGATGGGATAGAGCTGGAAATCTGAAATTTGGAATGAGTGTCCTTGACCAATCCGAAGGGTTTTTGTGTAAATTCGAATGATAAGTGTACTAAAAATTCTAAAATTCACTAAATATGGCATAGCTGTAGAGCGATTGCGAGGACCAAGAACACTGTATAGTTTTCGGTACGATAAACAAAATTGTCCGCTGAAAATATTTTCATGATCGTAAAAGATAAAAAAAGTGGAAAAAGGCAATATATTTTCTACCATTGGCTCTGAGCGATCTGGAAGAGCTGAAACTCTGATTTTTTTTGTAAAGAAAATAGTGAAAAAAATAGTTTAGCAAAATTCATGTTAAAAAATGCAAAAAGTAGTACAAGTTATTGAAATATTGTTTTCGAAGAGTTGGAGCTGTGAAATTTGTACTGGAAACGGAAAAATTCAATTAATATCAATTCCTTTTGCCGGTACCGGACACTGACTGATGGCTAAAAATGCTAAACGAAATGAGTGTGTTGATGAAACCATAAAACAATCAGAGGGAGTCGTATTCACTTAGGCATAGGAATTAGACACCCTATACCTGGACCTGGGGACAAACACGATTGCAAGAGATACCTACCTAGCATCTCTATGTATGTATATATACATGTCGAAAATCGCATTTTTTAATTCCGCTAACAATACGTATTATATACAATTTATTACAGACTACTTAGAATTAGTGTTCTATAAATATGAGAAAACTATAGCTAAGGGATTATAAGGCATTGGCATCACTTGTACAGCAACGAATGGTGTGGCGTCTCTGAGATCGTCCCGAAGTCATCGTAATAGGCATACGATTCGGAGTTGCCATAAAGTGAATCGTAAAACTTATCAGAATAAGCAACTGAGTCGACTGGAACCGGCGACGAAAATGTTCCGGTTCCTTGGCAGGGGTATTGGCTGTATTCTGGTAGTTTGGGTATGGTGTTCGCCTGGAAATTGTCTGCTTCAAGATCGAAAACTGCTCTCGAGTATAAATTCTGGAAATATGATGGCAAATCGGAGAGTTCAGTTTCTGGGGACGAGAAGTAATAGGTTTCGTGTTTATTTCGGTAGGATAGGTCGGGCAAGTATTTCTTCTCATTGTGGGCGCTGTTGAAATCACGGTTGTAGCCATGGGAAGCAACTGGCGAAGACCGATAGTAGGGGACCGAATTGTAAACTTCGGCAACAGGTTTTTGCACTTGAACACTTGGTGGACTTTCATATTTACTGGGGTACCCATAACTTGGTGGCTGGTAAGGTTTCGGGTCACTTGCGGGCGGGACCAATTTGCTACTGTGATAATATGTCGACTCGAGACGGCCCTGTGGCAAGGGCTGAGATACCTCTGTTATCTGGATTATTTGACTTTTGCTTTGTGGATTAACGACCACCTTTCGACAGAAGTCCTTGCAGCCATTTTTACACTCACAATAGCACTTCTTGTAGGGATCATGGCTTGGCGTTGTCGTCGTCGTAAGGGGATAAGGTGTGGTTGTACTAATGGTGGTGGTGGTGGGCGTTGTTGCAGTTGTCGAGGTCTCGGGCCTTGCGGTACTATACGACGTAGTGGTGGGATATGTGTATGCTGGGGGCACTATTGTCGTACTATTCGATGGAATTTCATCGCATGGAACTTCCTCCCAGACCTCCTCTTCACATTCAAAACAACTGCTGGGATAAGCCTCAGCAGGTGTGAACGTCAACTGGCAGAAGAATATCGCTGCCAAAACTAGCAGGGTTCTTATCTAAAAGGGAAGTCAACACATTCTCCATTAATCACTCAATCTTATCACAACGTGGTCCACCGCTCTTCACTTACCTGTGCTACCTGCATTTTGCACGTCCCATACATAGTTGGCAATCGTCAAAGATGAGCAAAAAACCCCAGTCCCAACAAAGAATGACCGATAAAAGCAAACAATGGCCAAGAACTAAATGCAGAAAAAAGTAGGTGTGTGTTAACAAGACGTTACTAACAGCAGTCTAAACTAAGTTTATGGCAAAAGCAGACGTTTTATAAGCGCTAGCCAAATGCCCAAGCTAGTTGGGCAAAAACCATTCTCCACTCTTGACGGAAGTTCGAAAAAGAAGCACGTTCGACTGTTTGCCAAGACATTTCTGAACGCGTTGTGCGTGTGTGTGCCCCAACTCTGTTATTACAATATGCTATTATATATGTGTGTGTATGTTAGTGTACCCTCTACCGGGTCAGAAATCTAAGGTATTTACCTAACAGCTCGCTCTCCAACTTTTCATTCATTATTCATTTGTCCGTTCTCCTGTCGATTCGTACGAGAGGGAGCAGAAAGTTTTGACTTCTTCGAGCATTATTTGATATTTGAACGCAACAATGACAGTCAACGTTCTTTTTAAGCGAAATTTCTAAGCGCAAGAACGTGAGTTGCGTTCGGCAACTTATCGACTGTTCGTCTCTCACTGCCATCCGCCCTCGATTTGCATGTAACATGTAAATAATACCAGAGCAATTTATTGCTCGCTTTCAATGCTTAATGGGATGATATTTCCATAAATGATAATAAATAAGTGATTTTACCCCAAATTGAATAATCGAACATTAGAGCTCTGTCTGGCCATACGGATACAACCTTATTTCCTTTCTTCTTTTACATCTTAAAATCAAAGCTCTATTTTCTGGAAAAGTGGCAAACTTAAAGCTTTTTTTTCACCAACAATTCCAATCCATGTTTCCAAGAAAACTAAACCCTAGGTTACTTTGTGGAGAGTACGTACAAAATCACAGATTTGTGTTAAAACTCACCTAATATCGTGGATACAGAGGAAACTGTTACTCTGAGAGTTCGTAAGTGTCTCGATATCATCAAAAGGCCTGTTATATATAAGTCACATATTCATGTCAGATTAAAGAGAAATATTTACATATAGCAAGTTGTAAAGAATCGCCGACTTGTTTCACTAGTTATGACAGATAAAAGTTCGGTACCAGAAGAGGTTCACAGGTATATATAATCTGTACAACAAAACCTTGTATGTCGTTTTATGAGCTTCATGGAAAAATTTTTGATACTTTGCGGGGGGTGGTACCAGAAGGAGTGGACCGATATACCCCATCTTCACGCCAGACCTTCGGTTAATAAACAATATTGTGATGTATGTAATTTGAAGGGAACCGGATGCTTATTTCGGATGGTAACTTTGTGTTTTATGAGCATCATGAATATTCAAAATTTTTACCCCTTGTAGGGGAGGTACCAGAAGGAGTGGGCCGATATATTCCATCTCAACACAAGACCTTGTGTGACCAGATGCGTGTATTTTGAAGACAATCGCATTCTTACATCATATTTTACAAGAGTTCTAATTAATCAACATTTTTACCCTTTGTGGGGGAGGTACTTGATGGCGTGCACCGATATTGTTCATTTTGACACCTGACCTAGCACTGATGCAAATATTAAGATTTGCAAAGTTGGAGCAAACTTGGATTACCTCTTTCCTTTTTGCGCAGTAAACTTTTTTCTTTGAAAATTTTGACCTTTTGTGGAGGAGGTACCAGAAGGAGTGGACCAACATAGCCCATCTCCGAACTCGATCTAAGTTTGATAATAATGTTACGATGTACCAAGTTTGGACCAAATTGGAGACTCCCTTCAAGAGTTATCGTTCACACGAGCCAACCAGACAGACGGACGGACGGACATCGCTCGATCGACTCCATATGTCCTGAAACGAATTTTGTCCAAAGAGACCTAGGATCTAGAGATCGTTAACCGTAGTCAGGTTTTGGCCTATGAAATGATATATACCCTCTGCAGCCATATGACTGAGCGTACAACAATCTAAAATAAATGTTCGTTTATACATTTTTACTTCAGACTGTTGACCCTTTATAAGGAGGTTCCGAAGAAGCGGGCCAATTGTGTAAAATTTCGTATCTGACATAAGTCAGATATTCCACTTCATCTAATACTGATAAAAATACTGGAAAGTGCAAAACTCAAAGAAAATCGAAAGTTTATTTCCAAGTTTATGCGAATAATTGTTAATCAATATTATTGTCTTTTGTGGGAGAGGTATTCACATCAGATCTCACGATGAGAGAGATATTTAGATATAACAAGTTTGAAAAGAATCTCTGGCTTCTTTCGCAAATTATTAGAGGTGTAATTATTCAAAATTTGTACCCGCTGCGGTGGGAGTTCCAGAAGGAGCGGATCGATATATCCCATCTTCACACGAGATCATGTGTTATCAAAAATGTTGGGATTTGATAAATTTGAAGAGTATCTGATGCTTATTCGCATTTAATGAGATATATAATTATTGAAAATTTTTGATCCTTTGTGGGGGAGGTACCAGAAGGAGTGGTCCTATATATTTCATCTTCACAATAGATCTTTCATTGATAGGAATATTAGGATATGCCGCGTTTAAAAGAAATCGGATGTTAATTTCGCGTTTAATGCACTAGTCAAAATTTTGACAGCTTGTGGGGGAGTTACCAGAACAGGTGGACCGAGGAATGCCAGATCTTATGATCGTAAAATATTAGAATGTGTGTAATTTGAAGAGTTATAATAATTGGGACCCTTTGTGAGGGAGGAACTGGATAGATCTTAATTTTTTGAAGTAAACTAAAATTATTATTTGATGTTTTCAGCTTGGTGATCTCTGTTATTTATTGCAAGATTTGTGTTTTATTGCATTTTTCCCAACGTTTCAATTTTTTGATGACTTCTTCGGGGAATTTACGGAAATGCGTTAAGCTTGCAACGAAACGTTGCAATGAAGAACAAATATTTGATTTGCAATACAAACAGTGTTCAGTAAGCTCTAAACATAAAATATGAAAAATATCAAATTTTACCAAAAAAAAAAAAAAAAAAAAAAAAATTGAAATTCATTGAAGAGATTTATTTCGTCATTGAGAAAATATCATTTTTAAGCATTGTGTGGATATGGTCAAACAATAATAATAATAACTTTGAAATGTCTATCCATCATATTCGTTCTGGGCATGTGTTATGGTTAATAACTGTATCAAATTACGTAAAAAAATCTCTTCCGCTTTTCATTTTATTTTTCTTGGTATTCAGTTTAGTTTATTATTATTCGATTATTAAATATTTAAACAAATAGTATTGGAAGTTTAATTATGTATGAACTGTATTCGACAATAACGATTCAATTTGAAAAATATGAACGGGATTTGTTTAAAACACACACACACACACACACACACACACCATATCACTTGTTTTAATACTTGTACAATATTTTAGGTAATAACCTCAAATGCCAGCGATTGGAAATACAGTAGCGACTTTGCTACCGAAACCGAGAGAATAAACAAAAGAACTTTTCACTGACGACACAATAAATATATTGAAATTGAAAAGACTTAAAACGAAATACCGATGCACGTCTCCACTTCAATGGTGCTGATAAATTTCCCACTCAAGCAATCTGAAAGAATGGAAATCGTTTCGAACCAAACACTTGATAAATATCTTGTGGCCGCACGGCCTATGTGTCCAATGGTATTTGAGTAAGTATGTATATATGTAATGTTTGGAGTTGGATGGTTGATGCATTTGAAGTTTGAAGAAAAAGAAAAACAAACGAACAAACAAATCCCCGCTTGCATTTACTTAAATTAAATCTAGTCTCAAATAGTCTATATCCTTTTAGGTTAGTTCTATTTTTTAACCAATATCTGGATTACTTTGAAATCTATTTGTGAGAAAAACTATTATTTTGAGTATTGTCTCTATCCACTGGGTAGAGGTTGAAGGCTAGTACAAGACGAATTGCATGAATTATGCTTTTTTTGACACACTGACTTTGTCTGTTCAATCATGTGTTAAGTATTTGCTCAACATCGACACCCAACAACAACCCTCATTTTGACTCATGTCTGCCACTGTCAAAAGTTCGATTGTGGCTTGGTGTTCTCAAGAAAAGCATTATGTCGACGATGACAGCGAACCATGTCTTCGATATAATGGTGTGTCACTTGTGTACGTGTGCTCAAATTGAGTGTGCGTGTGTGTGTTACTCCGACGGTAGAGGAGAATTTGTGTGTGCGTTGTTATTGTGAAGCAATAAACACATTTAAAAATATAACAAGTTAAAAAGCAGTAAGTTCGGCCGGGCCGAACTTTGAATACCATCCACCATTTCGAACGAACGTTAATATACACTCCATAGTATGGTGGCTGAAAAAAAAAATTCAACTTTTAAGTACGAAAATATGCTGAAATTTAATTTTTGGCATCTTCATAAAATTCTGATCATAAAACATTAGATCAATTTTAAATTAAATTTATTAATTAACTTTCTTTCTGTTCCCAAACCTGTAAGAATCTACGAGTTTTGCAATTTTGTCGATAATATCTGGTACATGCTTGCAGTCCTGGAACAGAGCAAAAGTTGATAGTATTCTTCAATAATCAAATCAATTTTCTAAATCAAATCAAAATTATAAATCAAATGGATTTTTTTTTATTAGGGAAATATCAGAATGTTATTTATTACTAATAATTCATAGCGCAATCGCAATCGTGAATGCCCATTTTCATTGATAATTGTAGCATGTTGTTACTAGAACACATTTGTACTCACTATTCGACATCCTCATTTATTGGTCAATGCCTGTTATGACGATGGGTTTGAGTCTGACCGACATGACGAGACATCGAGCATTTGGTTGGATGTCACGTACTGTTATGCGTTTGATCAAACAGGGCATAACATGACGAGCGTTTTCTGCCCATGGCAAAAATAGAGAAATATGTCGCATTTGCAGCCCTTTAGTAGGGGTGCAAAATAATAAAAGAGAAATTCTTTAGAGAATTTTGAAATAGTTGTTTTTCTGGCGTCCAATATTTAACTTCTTTCATAGTTTCTAAACAAAAACTCAATCATAAATGCTTTAAAAAGTAATGTTAAAATGTTTATGGATGTTTCAATCAT